TATAGCTACCTGGTGGCTACTAATGAGTCTTTGCTACTTATAGCTACCTGCTTGCTGCTTTTAGCTCGCCTTTTGTTACTTATAGCTACCTGTTTGCTGCTTTTAGCTCGCCTTTTGCTACTTATAGCTACCTGTTTGCTACTTTTAGCTCACTTTTTGCTACTTATAGCTACCTGTTTGCTACTTTTAGCTCACTTTTTGCTACTTATAGCTACCTAGTGGCTTCTTTTAGCTCGCCTTTTGCTACTTACAGCTACCGGCTACTTTTAGCTCGCTGTTTGCTACTTTTAGCTACCTGGTGGCTACTTTAACAAGCCTTTTGCTACTTATAGCTACCTGGTGGCTACTTTTAGCTCACCCTTTGCTACTTATCGCTACCTGGTGGCTACTTTTGGCTACTCTTTTGTAGTATTTAGCTGCACTTTGCTACTTTAATTTTAGCTAGGACGTTGCTACTTATACAAACTATGGTTAAATGGTAAAATCAATAAAAACAGCCAAAAGCTAAAACTGACACAACAAATTAGGTAATATAACTAAATTTAGCTAAACTGTAGCCGAACCTAAATGTTAGAAATAGCAGTAGATAATAGCTAAAATAGGCAAAGTAATTTTAAAAAGTTGCATTTCTGAAAACTGCAACTAAGAGCTAAATGTACCAAAACTCATTAGCGAAAAGCTACCAAATCTGTAGTTTAAGGCTACAGTTAGCATAGCAATAGTGTATCATGAGACAAAAAGTTTATATAAATTTAATTGATTTATATTTCTTCTATGGGGATAATTTAATAAATGAAGTTATATTTTACCAAATGTGTAAAATTTAAAAAAGTAAAAGTCAAATCTCTGCAGCTGAATGTTTTGATGTAAAAACAGCTTAAAGGAGGTTCTGATTGGCTCGTCACGTACAGGAAGCTGACGTTCAGCGGACGCCCGGCTCCTCCCACTCCTGCTCCAAAAACAAAAACCCACTCATCCACTAAATGAGTTGTTTCTGCTACAAAACCTCCTTTAAAATTAGCAGCCGGCGTGTTGAACTCGGTCCTCGCTCCACTTCTGAAGCGCATCAGAAAAATTAATTGTCAAACCGCAGGTGTCGGGTTCCGGAGCGCAGCCCAGGTGGCTGATGGGATTGCCAGATCTGCAGCAGCTGATTGATGACAGCAGGCTCCTTAGATGAGCAGAAACTTTGCTCCGGTCTTCTTCTTTTTATTTTTGATTTTTGGCTCTGGATCTTAGAGTGAATCTCTGTTAAAGCAATAAGAGGTCAAGAAGACGGAAGGTTTTACAAAATAAAATAAAAAGCAAGATAAGAAAAAGTCATGAACTCTCTGCTGAAAGTCCATAAAAGAGAAAAACTGAGACRAGACTTTTTATCTCTCGTCCACTCAAACCAAACTCGACGAACATTAAGTCAAAATCAAGCTTTTATTGATTTGCTCCTCCAGCACCACTCMAAACCTTTACAGACTAATTCATGAACTGGAGACAGTCGGACCTGGGAAACAGATCAAACTGGTTTTAAAAAGGACATTCTGTCAAAAACTACACGTACTTTTAAACTAAAGGATCAGCATTTCCTGCAGAAATGTGATGTAAATGCTTAATGCTGAAGAGTTTTGCTTAAAGAAGCTAAAAAGTTTAATATAAAAACCTTTAATGTGAAAAAGAAAAAAATTGTATAGGTCTTCTGGACGGGTTCTTCTCTAATGAAACGTTTCGTCTCTCCTCCAAGAGACTTCTTCAGTCTGAGAGTTTCAGGCAAAATTCAGGCTTTTAAGCCCTGCCTCCATGTGACTGATACTCACATCACATGGCTATGTTGACACCTAATTAACACTTATTGTTAACAGGGGGTRGAGTGATACTAGCAATAGCCATGCTGTAGGAGGGGGACAACTGAAAACGGAGGCCTCCACCTCTGTTTAATGATGGACGGTCTTTCTTCACAAAAATGGCTTCTTTTACTCCTCTCTCAAACCAACGTTCCTCTCTDTCAAGAATGAGAACATCCTCATCTCTGAAAGAGTGACCGCTGGCCTGTAAATGAGTGAAAACTGCAGAGTTCTGGCCATTAGATGTAGCTCGTCTGTGTTGGGACATTCTTTTGAACAGTGGCTGCTTTGTTTCCCCGATGTCCATCTTAAAAACAAGGTTTGTAGCTGTGGGCTTGACATACATAGCCAAGGGGTCTAAATCCACTGGAGGACTCGGGCATGCTCCACTAGGTCCAAAAACAAGTATCTCGGTCTTTTTTTCATTAAAATGCAAGAAATTTAGGGCCATCCAGGCTTAAAGATCATCGAGACATGCTAAAAGAGATTTAATGGACCAAGCCTCAGCTCGCCTTAGAGGTACATAGATTTGGCAGTCGTCAGCATAGCAATGGAAGGAGATGCCGTGTTTTCGAAAAATTGAAGCCAAAGGCAGGATGTATAAAGAAAAAAGCAAAGGCCCCAAAATTGAGCCCTGGGGAACCCCACATGACAAAGGAGCAGAAAAGGATTCAAATCCTGCAATTTTTTACTAAAAATGTTCTGTTTGCCAGATAGGACCTTAACCACTCCAGGGCAGTGCCACTGATGCCTACCTGGTGCTGTAGACGCATCAACAAAATGCTGTGGTCTACTGTATCAAATGCAGCGGTTAAGTCCAGTAAAACAAGAATAACATGATCACCAGAGTCACATGTCAAAAGAATATCATTATAAACTCTCAGCAGGGCTGTTTCAGTGCTATGAAGAGTTTAAGAAGCAGAAAGAAGTTAAAGAAGCAGAAAATTAGTTGAAAAAGCAGAAAAAATCTAAAGGTAGCAAAATATTGAGCTTAAGAAAGCTGAAATTGGCACAAAGAAGTTACAAAACACAACGAGAACAAAAGCTTAATAGCACAGTAAATATTTATGAACATTATGAAAGGTTTTAATGATGTTGAAGACAGCTCCATTTATTTTCAGTGAGAAAATAAAACGTAAAAAAAACTATCTGAAAAATTATAAATTTTCAAAGTACCGAAGGTCGTAGCTGAAGTTTTCTAAAGGAGCTGAACATTTTTGAAATATAAATTGTTCAAACAGCACAAAATTTGTGGAATGAATTACATTCCGAATAACGTACAGATAGGGCTGCCACGATTAATCGATGAATCGACGACTAATCGATTATTAAAATAATCGTTTGTGGCAGCCCTACGAGGAGAAAATGGATCATCTCAATAGTGTGAATGTTTGACACGATGATGGTGAAACAACCGTTCGGTAAGAAGAAATTAAGTTAAATATTGTTATGAAAAACAAAGGACATAATAACTTGCGGGGAATATTTGCATTTTTTGCTTTTTCAGGGTTTTTGCAAACATTTATTAGTTAAGATCTCAGGACAATTTTGCCCTCAGAATTATTTTTTTTAACATTGGGGGGGCCCACCAAATTTTTTGAAGGTGGGCCGTTGCCCCCCTTAGCCCCCTCCTGGTGGCGCCCCTGTAGGTTGAACTCCTCAGTTTGTATTTTAAATCTGATTGGAAAAATGAGCTACAGGCTGGAAACAGGAGAGCTTCAGTTTGTCACTGAACTGTAATTTTGATTAAATAATTCTATAAAAAAAGAAGTTCTTTTTAAAATAATTGTTTTATTTTCTACATCCTAAATCAACTTAATGCTTCATTTGTCCTTTTTAAGCTTCTTCCTTGTTCTGCTGGGATCAAAAAGCTTCACAGCAGCTGAAAGCGTCTCTGTAACTGAAACCTTCGCTTTATTTCTCCCAACAGCCGAAGCTTTTTGATGTTGCTTTAGCTTCTTCTTTTTTTTTGAAGAAGCCTCAGAGAGAGTGGGTTTATCTGATCTCTCATTGTCCCGTCACCAATATAAACGTCAGGCTCTGTCATCGGGCTCATTCACCGGTCGGGTCACGTTCTTCTTCTTCTTCTTCTTCTTCTTCTCTTGTTCTGGAGCCGTCAGATGTGGCGGCGTGAAGAAAACTCTAAAAGTTCAAACATGACGTCTGGGTTTTACAGTGAACAGTTTGTCTCTTTAACTTAAACTTAAACTATTTTCGGAATGATGAATGTTTTGATAAATACAGAAAATATCCGTTAACGCTGACTCAGCATTAGCATGCAGCTAACGTCTTTAGCGCGCTGTACCTTTAGGGACTTTTTAATGAAACTTTATYAGAAACAAACCTTCATCGTTGTTTTCTCGTTCTTCCACCTCAGGGTCCTAACGCTCTGGTCACCTACACCATCCTGAGCGGGGCGGACGACAGCTTCCGCATCGACCCCGAGTCCGGCGACCTGATCGCCACCAGGAAGCTGGACCGGGAGCGGCGGTCCAAATACTCCCTCCTGGTGCGAGCGGACGACGGGAAGCAGTCGTCCGACATGAGGCTGAACATCACCGTCAAAGACGTCAACGACCACTCGCCCAAGTTCTCCCGGGCCACGTACTCCTTCGACATCCCCGAAGACACAGCAGCAGGTGAGCTCACCTGACGCAGCCGCACCAAAGTGAAACATAAATCTGTTTATCTGTGTTTGATTACTCTGCCTGGCTTTCTCAAGGACCAGGATGTGACACAAAAATCTGAATTWKGRAMYKRAARKKRAA